CCCCCCCCCCCCCCCCAGCGTGTGACAAGGACAGCGCGGTGTCGCGACAGAGGCGGGGTGGGGACAAGGGGCGGGACACAGCGGGGGACAGCGGGAGTCGCGACAGAGGCGGGGTTGGAGCACGGCGGCGGCGGGGACAAGGACGGCTCAATGTCGCGACAGCTCCGGACGGGGACGGGGACAAGGACAGGGACACCCCAATGTCGTGACACGCTGGGGACAGGGACAGGGACAGAGACACCCCAATGTCGTGACACACTGGGGACAGGGACAGGGACACCCCAATGTCGTGACACGCTGGGGACAGGGACAGGGACACCCCAATGTCGTGACACGCTGGGGACAGGGACAGGGACAAGGACAGGGACACCCCAATGTGACACGCTGGGGACAGGGACAGGGACACCCCAATGTGACACGCTGGGGACAGGGACATTGTGACACCGACAGGGACACCCCAATGTCGTGACACCCCCCCAGGGACAGGGACAGGGACATTGTGACAGGGACAAGGACACCCCAATGTCGTGACACCCCTTGGGGACAGGGACCCGCGGGGACAGGGCGGTCACCCCCCATGTGGCGGTGCCACCCTGGGGGTGGTGACATCCAGACAATGCCACCGTGGACGTGGTGACATCCAGGGAACGGTGACACCCTGGGGGTGGTGACATCCTGGACATGGTGACATCCACGGGGTGGTGACACCCCTGACAGTGCCACCCTGGACATGGTGACATCTAAGGAACGGTGACACCGTGGACATGGTGACATCTCTGACAGTGCCACCCTGGCGGTGGTGACATCCCAGGAACGGTGACACTGGGGGTGGTGACATCCAGACAGTGGTGACATCCAAGGAACGGTGACGCTCTCAGGGGGGTGACATCCAGGGCACGGTGCCACCCTGGGGATGGTGACACCCCGGGGATGGTGACACCCTGGGGATGGTGACATCCAGGGGATGGTGACACCCTGGGGATGGTGACATCCAAGGAATGGGGACACTCTGGGGGTGGTGACACCCCTGGCGGGGCCACCTGGGAATTAGGACAGGTGGTGACACATCCCGGCAACGGCAGCGCCGAGACTTTGGGGACAAGGTGGGGACAGGGGCGACACTGGGGGGGCTTCGGGGACAATGGGGACAGTGGGGACACTCTGGTGGATTTGGGGACAACGTGGGTACGGGGGGACACTGGGGGGGCTTCGGGGACAGTGGGGACAAGGTGGGGACACCCTGGGGACACCCTGGGGACACCCTGCAGACAGAGCCACCATGGGCTCGGGACACTGTGGGGACACGGACATTGGCGACAAGGCCACCCTGTGACAGGGGACACCGCGGGGATGGGACACGCGGGTGTCCCCAGGTGTCCCTGCATTGTCCCCAGGTGTCCCCATACCCCTGTCCCTTTGTCCCCAGGTGTCCCCAGGTGTCCTCATGCCCCTGTCCCTTTGTCCCCAGGTGTCCCTGCATTGTCCCCAGGTGTCCCCAGGTGTCCCCAGGTGTCCCCACACCCCTGTCCCTCTGTCCCCAGGTGTCCCCAGGTGTCCCCACACCCCTGTCCCTCTGTCCCTTTGTCCCCAGGTGTCCCCAGGTGTCCCCATGCCGCGGCGCCTCCTGTCCATCCTGCTGGCCCCCACGCGGCTCCTGCTGGCCGTGCGGGGTCTCCTGGCCCGGGGGGGACTCGCGGTGGCCGCGGTGGCCTCGG